TATTAAATATGCCATACGATCTGTCCAATTTATGGAAATAACGTTTTTAAGCTCCCGATGGTATTTACGGGGAAGAAAATTGTTTTGGCAATTTAGTGGTCATTAGCCTCGACGTGACCTATGGAAATTAGTTGCTCTGTTTGACGCGAAGATATCCGAATGAACCCAACATAATTGTACGACCACTCAGCGCATTGTCAAATGACTTGTGCACCGAACAGTATATCATCTGAAGTGAACATAATGACGGTATCACACCACAGTTTGTGTTCACTACTGAACATAATGACCTCTGCACCGAACAGTACATCATCTGAACTGAACATAATGACTTACACAACAGTACCATCTGAACTGAACATAATGACTTCTCACCGAACAGTACATCTGAACTGAACATAATGACCTCTGCACCAAACAGGATATCATCTGAACTGAACATAATGACGGTATCACACAACAGTTTGTGTTCACTACTGAACATAATGACCTCTGCACCAAACAGGATATCATCTGAACTGAACATAATGACGGTATCACACAACAGTTTGTGTTCACTACTGAACATAATGACCTCTGCACCGAACAGTACATCATCTGAACTGAACATAATGACTTCTACACCGAACAGTACATCATCTGAACTGAACATAATGACTCTCTGCACCAAACAGGATATCATCTGAACTGAACATAATGACGGTATCACACAACAGTTTGTGTTCACTACTGAACATAATGACCTCTGCACCGAACAGTATATCATCTGAACTGAACATAATGACGGTATCACATAACAGTTTGTGTTCACTACTGAACATAATGACCTCTGCACCGAACAGTACATCATCTGAACTGAACATAATGACTTCTACACCGAACAGTACATCATCTGAACTGAACATAATGACCTCTGCACCAAACAGGATATCATCTGAACTGAACATAATGACGGTATCACACAACAGTTTGTGTTCACTACTGAACATAATGACCTCTGCACCGAACAGGATATCATCTGAACTGAACATAATGACGGTATCACATAACAGTTTGTGTTCACTACTGAACATAATGACCTCTGCACCGAACAGTACATCATCTGAACTGAACATAATGACTTCTACACCGAACAGTACATCATCTGAACTGAACATAATGACCTCTGCACCAAACAGGATATCATCTGAACTGAACATAATGACGGTATCACACAACAGTTTGTGTTCACTACTGAACATAATGACCTCTGCACCGAACAGGATATCATCTGAACTGAACATAATGGCGGTATCACATAACAGTTTGTGTTCACTACTAAACATAATGACCTCTGCACCGAACAGTACATCATCTGAACTGAACATAATGACTTCTACACCGAACAGTACATCATCTGAACTGAACATAATGACCTCTGCACCAAACAGGATATCATCTGAACTGAACATAATGACGGTATCACACAACAGTTTGTGTTCACTACTGAACATAATGACCTCTGCACCGAACAGTATATCATCTGAACTGAACATAATGATAGTACTATTCAACAGTTCTATTTCACGACTGAAGAGTCTGAATAAAGCACCCAATAGCATGTCATTGCAACTGAAAATAATAAAAGTATCACCCAATAATACACTGCCTCAGCCAAACGAAATGATAGTACCACTCAACTGTTTATTTTCATGGTTGAACATGATGAGAAGAGCTATTTTAACCGAACATAACAACTGTCACACCCTACAACATATCTTTTTAACTCAACATAATTGTGTTACCACATGCCTGCTTGTTTTAAGAACTGAACAGAACGACTAATGCACCTGACAATACATTGACTTGACTGAATAAAATGTAATCAGCACACAACATTACACTTCAATAACTGAGCGCATTTGGATTTCCACCCAGTATATTGTGATTTTGACCCAGCATATTGTATCTCGGACTCAACAGAATGACATTTAACCATGTATATCAGTCATTCTACACATAAGACAGTCCAGGCGTTCCATATATATTTGCACAGTTCAAATAAATCTGTGGCGCACATATATAAGTTTCTCCAAATATGTCATTCATTTTATTTTACCTTTACCTTTTTGTTCTTCTGAACATGGAAGCCAACACGTACGGGTTATAAGCTCCTCCTTGTCCAGCCAGGTATATTTCCTGTTTTGGAAGCAATTAAGGTGCTTCCAGTTCAGGTAGTAAACGTCAACATTTTCCCGAGCAGGATTTTTTAAGTCACTTTTTCAGGCACCACTAGCGAAATGGCCTGTGCATAAAAGTTCTACAACCTATAAAAAATAGAAATCACTATTTTGATATGATGCAGAAAAGATAAATCTTAATCTAAAATAAAAGATTTTCAAGGGAAAGGATGTCCCTCGTTTTGGAAAAGTTGCGAAGTTGTTAAAATCTGGAAGTAAGCTATATTATTTGGTTTGCATTTTGTTTGCAAAATACTAACTTTACCAAATTATTATTTACAAACTAAAGTTTCATGCTGTAAAGACTGTATGTCACATGTTCAACAACAGTACAATGTTACTCCAGAAAGTATTTGTCAATCAACCATGGTCGGGTCTAACATCTTGGAAGTTGATATTGGAGGAAAATGTAGCAAGCCTAAATGTAACCGCTTACAATCTAACGACATCACAGGGGTGGAACCCCATATGTATCTCAAAAATGAGCATCGGTAAAAAGTATATGTGAATTTCCGCTGCTCCAGATCTGAAGCATAACACCAGATGTGACTGTGTAATTAGGTCAATCGCAGGGTAAGTTTTCAACTTTTTAAACAGTTATATAAAATTCAGTCCTTTTTAAACCGATATTGTAAACCCCCAAAAATATGAGCCAATCAGAAGTATGTTGGGTGTTCCTATTGGTTGGATGACATAAGACACAGAAAAACACTGCTGTAAATAATTGGGACGAGCCAGTAATACGCTTACCGCCGTTTCATCAGCATTTTAATGACATGCCAGAAGATGGATGTTTTAATTTATATCAATAAGTCGATTATTAACGATTATTGTTATTTTCTCGGGGACTTGAAATGGATAATATTGCAAGTAATGCTACTCATGAAAAGATTCATAGTGGCAGTGCCTCCTAGCGCAAAATAACATTAGGATAAAGGATTAAAAGCTTTATAAACAAATACGTCCATGCACCAGACAAAACTTTATCTCAATCCATTACCACATCACCTATCCCAATCTAAACAAATTCGTTTTTTGAGGGGGGGGGGGGTTAGCCTAAATTTTGGTACAGTCCAGTGACCCTTATGTAAATCAAAATAAGCAAGGCCTTCCCACCATATCTACGTATTTTTAATACCTTTCGTATGCAGAATGTCTTTTTATTATTCAAACTCGTCTCGTGAAAATGTGTTTATTTCGGATAATAGTTTTTATTACAGTTTGATACTCAAAAGAATAAATTATAGTTTGCTTTATGAAAGTGATCCGTAATTATGTTGCTATTTTTTTTTTATATTATGCACATATGGATCTCCTCAACACATATGGAGCTCAAATGCAATTTTGAGCAGCGATTCCTTCGTTGGTAGCCAAATCTCTATAAATGTTTAAATCAGGGGTTTGTTTGAATGTAAAGCATCGGTCTGTAGTGAGATTTCGTAAAAGCTCTGTTTTTGAGTCCGTTAGTGACATTTTCTTCATACACATTGCATGTTTTTGACACAACAGAACCCACGACGGATGAAAACTGCATAGAAATCCAAAACAAAAATGGGTAATGTAGAGGAGAGCCAGGAGGGTAGAATCACATTTCGATTTTCTTAAAAAAAATGACTGAATTGTATATAACTGTTTAAAAAGTTGAAAACTTACCCTGGGATTGACCTATTTTCTCAGTCACATCTGGTGTTATGCTTCACATCTGGAGCAGCGGAAATTCACATATACTTTTTACCGATGCTCATTTTGGAGATATATATGGGGTTCCACCCCCATGAACATAGAATTATCGACAATAATTATAAGATATGTGTTAACTGTTGCTTATTACAATTTTCAAACTAATTAAATACTAAACTGTAAATAAATCATGTTTACAAACTATAAAGATGTCATGTTTATATTTAAAAAAAAATAATAAAGAAGTTTATGTCACGGTTCAGAACTATTCACTATTTACGGGAGAAGATGTGTAAGCCGTCGGATAGCTCAGGTAGGTATTCCGAGAGATAGTCGGAATATCTTTTTACCTTTGTTCCGAAAAAGACGATATAAAATAGACCTTATCGTACTGCAAATAGGAGACCATATAGTGAAATGCTTTATGCTGTTGTTTTGTGTGTTACAGTGATTCTGTTGTAAATTTATCTTTTCACTTCATGCGTGACACAAGAACGAATTCCGTAGTCTGCTCGTATATAGTTCAGATTTACTAAGTAATTTCTTGTATGTAGCTAATGCTAACATTAATTAGGATTTAATCAGATTGTAGGTTTGCATCAGTTATCGTCTGCCGGTTCTAATCGGGATAATTAGCTCGAGGGTAACTGGAGGAACTTGCATTAGACCCCCGTTTGGATTATTTCAAACTTAACCCCTAAGCCCATGCCTTGCAGGTGCATATATAATTTTATAAAATAAAATACTGCTAGATTGTAGGCCTATACCAAAATGAAAATAGTCATCGGAATCGCAAAATAGAATTATCTTCCGGCCTGACATAACACTTATTGTCGATTTTATTTATCTTCTAGCGAGTATTGGTGATGAACTAGATTTTCCAAATGAAATGGTATGGGTAAGCTTTTACGAAAAATAAATGCATTGAATCTACATAGCTAAATCGGACGCGATTCTTCTTTTCATTATTATTATTCTACAACTAAATATAAATAATTATGGAAACCAACACATAAACAAAATATATGCCTCTTATTGCCTAAGGCCTATCATAAATATATTCTACTTTCGCTTCATCTAGCTAACGGAAATTACCGAAGTCATCCGAAAATATGTTGTTTCAATGGCGGATGAGTAATCGTAAAACAAAGATGCTGAGAATTAACGGATTATTCTGCGATTATGTGACGTTTTAGACATGAGCTTGACAGATCAATCTGGAGATTCTTCTAGTGACAGAGATGTTGAGTTTTATTATAGGCCAGGTATTTAAGATTCGTTCGAAATTTACCGTTAAATATCAAAGTCTTTAAGAGATGCTGATTATGGGATAATTCTACCATTACACCGGTTCCAAAATTGGTACAAATGGTATTTTTCCTATTAATTAAATCGAATCAGTGTTACATTAAAATCAGTTTGTTTATTTTTTTACTAGCTGTGTCTCGTTTTTGTTTTTTATCATAGTTATAAAATAAACATAATACAAAAGTAGCTTCAACAAATGTTCTGTGCCTAGGTTCTTGATTTTTGGCAGGGGATTTTTTGGCTCTTTAATGTAGTCATTAATAACAGTTTATTTTTGTCTGCTGCCTTTTTAAAAACCATATTTTTGTCAAATATACATATGCAATGATTCGGATTGGACCTTTCCTTAGGACAGATTTTCTAAAAGGTAAAAAAATTTGGTCATTTGTCTGCTATATTCTGGAGTCTTAACCATGAGTGCATACATTGTATAAGGTTCATTCCGTTTTTTTTTTTCAAAACTTATTTCACGCAGTCTTGAATAGTGAAAGACATTTGGACTGTATGTCCTGACTGGTTAGATATCAGTAGGTCTGAATATATCTGTATCGGCAGACGGATGATGAAGTAAAAATTCAATGTGATGGTTGTTGGAAACATTATTGCAAACGAAATTTTATGCTTTATTTCAACAAGGTGATCATTTATTTGTATGCATTAAATTTCTAAATCTATATGTGTCGTTGCATCCTAGAAATACACAATATTAGCTCTTGTAAGGCAGGTCTTATGCAACTGTAATTAATGCATTTAAAGCAAACAAAAATACCCATTACCCATAATGTCTCTGCATTTAATTCTATACATTCCCTTTACTTTTACAATAACCTATAAAATAAAAGGGTTTTGACTTTTGTGCAGTTTTAAAATGTATATATGTTTCTTCATATATTATCATGTTGATAAATTTCGGTCACTAATAAATGTTTCTATTACAAAATAAAATTAAAAAGCCCCTGGTATTTTTGCAGCTTTCTGTTATCATTGGAATCATTGTTGGCAAAAAACAAGCCTCTTTAAAGCTTAAAACCTAGCCCAACCTGCCCACTAGGATTTTAATGGGTTTTATCATTTTTTGCCTGGGTTATTATGGCTATGCCCCCTTGTACAAATCAGATAACATTGTGTTACATTTTATTACAGTGTAACTTCTGAAAACCGAACACATGTGGGACTAGCCAAAAAGTTCGGATTGGAAGTTTCTGGAATTCAGAAGTTCGGACTTATCTGAACAAGTAGAAACATTTAAAACATCAATTGTTTAAGTAAGACATGATGAAAAATATATGAAGCTTTTTAAATTCATAAAACGGCAGAATTATAGGACATTTAAAAAAGTTTATAACTGTTTTAAATTTCATTATCACATATAACTGAATACGTTGATATAAAAGCATAATGTTAATTAATTATCACAATATATCCTTTAGTATATTTCATGATGTACCTGCTATTTACCTGTAATATTTTTATTTTCTTCACATAGTACTTCTCAATTTCTTAATTTTCACACTTAAATCTTTAAGTGTTTGACATGCTTGACATGTTGTGATTCTAATAGGTGTCAAGATATATGGTTACTGCTAATTGGAAGATAATGACATTTTGTTTTACAAACATAAGTATAATATTCCTTTACACCTTTTTCATTTTCCGGATTTTGGAAGTAAATTTGAATGGAAAAAAAAACAAAATTTTACTCAAAAATCGTTCGGAATTCAGAATTTAGAAGTTCGATAATTCAGAGGTATTTATTACATAGAAAACAGCAGGAGAAATTTTGGGACCCTGAAAAATGTTTGAATTTCAGAAGTTTCCAGATTTTAGAAGTTCAGGAATTCGAAAGTTACACTGTACATGGTTATTAGAGGTGTAATGATTCATCGCAATCTACCCTATCCTCGATGTATTCATCGAAATAAGTTTATAAATACCAATATATCACGATTCAATACATATTTCACCTCCGGTTGCATTAATATGGCAGACAAGTATCACAATACACTAACAATATCTTCCAGGAAAATAAAGACAAACATATTTTTTGAAAGACTGAAAAGAGAAAAATGGCTTGGATGAAAATAATGAACGAGCACGACTACTATCATATAGGTGTCATCTCATTTTCGGTTCAGGGTAGACCATGTCCGCAGTAATATTACCAAGTTTAATAAATTTTATATAAATGGGCTGGTGTTCTTTGAACTTGTTTATAAAAAATAATTGGAGATCAGAACATTTTCAAGAAAATACAACTTACAAACGTGAATTTGTAAATTTAGTTGCACTTGAAGTCAGATTAAAATGGTGACGATAGCAATATTCCCATGTGATATTTGTAACGTATTTATACTTTCATTTCTGCTGACATCATTTCCCGTAAAAACACATGTTGACTGCAAAATTTCTAGAAAAAAGGTGAAACAATAGTTTATCTGTCCTGGACATATAAAGCATGAGTATGGGAACATCGTCATTTTCTGGAACAAACAAAGACTGGACGTTGCAAAATTAAAATTTGATACTCTGGGAGCACACATTCTTTGAGAAAACACAGTTGACCTAATTGTTAAACAGTTGTAATTATGTTATTTATTTCACAAGAAAATTCTTTAGTGGTGTATTGTAGGACTGTCATATTAACAGTAGTTGGTTTAAGTGTTAGAATAGTAGATACTTGTTGTTATGGTATTATCTAAATATCTTTAACCAGTAAGGTAAATTGTTAAAAGATCAAAATTGAAAACCAAGTTATAATATCAAGTTGAAGAGTTTATTGTTAATTTTATCATTTTCATAATTCTGCTGTTAACAAATGAGTCTATATAAAAGATAAAGCCTGAAAGTCAGTACCGTGATACTTATCATGATACGTATCGCATCGCAACATAAGAATCGCAATATACATCACATTTCATCAAAGACTGCAATACATGTCGTGAATCACATCGTTTGGAAATACAATTATTGTGATATGCATCAAGATAGAAAAAATGGCAATGCACAGCCCGAATGGTTATATGAAACTTTGGATATATAGTTTTTATTTAATTTTCTTTCTAAAGATTAAAAAAAATCAATGTTTATTTGTTTGATTTTTAAAAAAGTAAAAAAAGTAGAGTCTTGCCCCCACTTGGCTCTTGTTCAGATCTGTGTTGTTTCGAACAAAATGGTTACCCTTCTTAAATATGGAAAATTTCAATAGATTAAATATTTAAATTAAATTTTCACTTTATTTAATATTATGTCGATATTGATTGGTATCACTTGAAGATGTTTTCTTTTCTTTTTTTAGTTTACAATTATTATTTGTGTCAAGTAATTTAATAGGATTAATTATTAAAGTTAAATATATATATATAAGTTCATAAGGCTGATTTAGGGTAAGTATGTATTATAATTAATTTAAACTGGTTTGATCTCCTATTAAATTTTAGAAGTTGTTATTTTATTGACACCTGCTTAGTTTATGACTGTTTAAGATGGTCATTACAGTAATAAATCTTAACAAGAAGGGACTCAGAACATATGCATGGCCTTTAAAAACACTTTTTGTTTCTCTTCTCTAAATTAACCTGAACATTTTTTTTCTGGAATCTGAATATATTTGTGCATAATGAATTTATTTATTTTTATTATTTTACAAATGCTTGAATTAAAGTCTGCACATACTTATAACCATTACTTGATGCACAAGTTTATCCATGTAAGAATTCCATATTTTATATTTTAGGCTTAAGTCTTTAATAAATTAAGTATAAAAAGATGTATTTGTATATTGTCACAATTTGTGTATTTATAATGTAGGCGGAAGAAGGACGGAGGGTTTAAAAGCTGCCGATATTGTCCCACTCCTGAGAGAGAGAGTTGCCTATCTCTCAGGTAAGTTTTTCTTGCTTTTTCCATGGATTATTCTCTATGAAGTGAATTAAAGAACAGCAAACGTTTTACCCTCAAGCCCTTTTTTCATTACAATCATATTATTATAAAAGCCTTAGCCTAAAGGTGACTGTTAATATCTATAAATGTGATATTCTTGTTTGAACGATGTCTTGGAATAAGTAGAAAATAATTTGTTGTAATGTATTTTTAGCTCACCTGTCACAAAGTGACGTGGTGAGCTTTTGTGATCGCTTTTCGTCCGTCCGGCCGTAAACATTTACTTTAAACGACATCTCCTCATAAACCGCTCAAACTTTACAGGAATGTTCCTTTGGTAGTCATCTTTAAAAATTATTCAAAGAATTTAATTCCATACAGAACTGTGGTTGCCATGGCAACCGAAAGAAAAAACTTAAAAAATCGTCTTTTAAAAACCGAAAGAGCTAGATTTTAAATATTTGGCATGAAATATCATCTAGTCAGTGTTTACCAAGTTTGTTCAAATAAAAGCCTTGGGGTCAAAATTGCCCAGCCCCAAGGGTCATTGTTTATCCCTTTATGTATTATATACTATATAGTAAAAACTTAAAATATCCTAACCCTAAGAGCTAGAGCTAAGATATTTAGCATGAAACATCTTCTAATGTATGTCTACCAAGTTTGATCAAATAAGGGCTCTTGGGTTAAAATTGGCCCCGCCCCCGGTCATTGATTTTCCTTCTATGTGTAAAGTGAAAACTTAAAAAATCTTCTTTAAAAAAACCCCAAAAGAGCTAGTGTTAAGATACTAAGCATGAAATATCATCTTGTGAGTGTCTACCAAGTTTGTTCAAATAAAAGTCATGGGGGTCAATATTGGCCCCGCCCGGGGGCGGGGGGTCATTGTTTTTCCTTGTATGTATATAGTAAAAACTTTAAAAATCTTCTTTTGAAAACCCCCAAGAGCTATTGCTTAGATATTTATCATAAAACATCTTCTAATGGTTGTCTTACCAAGTTTGTTCAAGTAAAAGCCCCTGGGTTGAAATTGACCTTGGCCCAGGGGCCTATATATAGGTGAGCAATATCAGGGCCATCATGGCCCTCTTGTTATTTTTACTGATGTATATATGCAAATTGAAATAAATCTATAATTTATAAATGAGCTAAAAAATCATAAATTAATTTTAAAAAATGCATATTGAAAAAGCAACATGTTTTATATTAACAATATGAAGTATAAGTAATGCTGAACTTGCATTGTGTCAGTGTAAAGTAAGTTTTAACAGTAAATTTCTCTATCTTTATATTACTTCAAATTTAAGATATTTGTTCTTGTTTGTCCATGTAATATAATATCAAGACAGTGTTCATAACTCTGGCGTGACAAATAGTAAAGGTTGCTGACTTCAGATGCTTTACCTCCCTTCTATCAGTGATTTTTGATTGTTTTATGTGAGAAATCTACCCAGGCAGGTTATTGGAGATTTGTGGTTGAAATAATTCATGAAGGGACACATTAAATCTTCCTCTAGCAGGAAAGCTGGAAAGTCACTAAATGACCGTTACAGTGTCAATGTTTACAGTGTAATTGTTTATTATATCAGGAGGTAGGGACAAGCGTGGAGGACCAATTCTAACATTTCCCTCCAACACACACCCAGAAAGATTAAAGTATGAAGATTTACGAAGATTAATGACGTATCTAGCCAGTGTTCCAAGGTAAAAACTGTTACTTACAAACCATACATGTTAGTCATATAATTTCAAAAGTTCTTTTTATCATATTTTCACAGTGTCTACATTTTTTAAATGCCTATGCAAGCTTATGATGTACATTATTTCAGTGCTAATATAAAGTTTATTATTTTATTGCTGATATAAAGTCAAAATGTATATTATTTTAGCATTTATATCAAGTTAAAATGTATATTATTTTAGCATTTATATCAAGTTAAAATGTATATTATTTCAGTGATGATGTAAAGTTAAAATGTATATTATTTCAGTGATGATGTAAAGTTAAAATGTATATTATTTTAGCATTTATATCAAGTTAAAATGTATATTATTTTAGCATTTATATCAAGTTAAAATGTATATTATTTTAGCATTTATATCAGGTTAAAATGTATATTATTTTAGCATTTATATCAAGTTAAAATGTATATTATTTTAGCATTTATTTCAAGTTAAAATGTATATTATTTTAGCATTTATATCAAGTTAAAATGTATATTATTTTAGCATTTATATCAAGTTAAAATGTATATTATTTTAGCATTTATATCAAGTTAAAATGTATATTATTTTAGCATTTATATCAAGTTAAAATGTATATTATTTCAGTGATGATGTAAAGTTAAAATGTATATTATTTCAGTGATGATGTAAAGTTAAAATGTATATTATTTTAGCATTTATATCAAGTTAAAATGTATATTATTTTAGTGATGATATCAAGTTAAAATGTATATTATTTCAGTGATGATGTAAAGTTAAAATATATATTATTTCAGTGATGATGTAAGGGAGAAGGGTTTTACTGTGATACTTGATATGCGCGGATCTACCTGGCAAAATGTCAAACCCATTCTTAAAGCTATGCAGGTTTTTGTCATAATTTTCTATGTTTTTGTTAGAAAAGAACTTTTGGCAAGTCAATAAGTTTAAGCAATATTACAATTTCAGTTAGAAATTAATTGACTAATGTTCTGTAAAAAATATTTTTATTTTTGCTTGATTGTAATGAAATCTGAAGCTCATTTGAACAACTCTATAATTTACTTCTTTGGACTGACCAGTAAAGATGTTAAATGAGAAAACATGTTTGTAACCCCAGAAGTGCTTAAACTTTTCATGATATGTTAGCTTCTTGAAACAGTTCTCTAGTTAAATTATGTTCTGTTATATATTCCATTACAAGCTCTATACAATGTAAAATGTTTGTATATTTTCATATTGTAGGAATGTTTCCCTGGCAACATAAATATAGCTTTTATTATAAAACCAGAGAAATTCTGGGAAAAACAAAGAACTAGTCTGGGCAGCTCAAAGTATAACTTTGAGGTAAGTACTTCTTAAGTCATTGTGTTGAATACAAGTTTGATATTTTAAACATGTTTTATTTCTTCACTTATCAAAATAAATGTAATTGACTGAGGTTCTCACCAAGTTTTGTCTTATAACACCAGAAAATGCTATATTGAGCTACAGTCTAGTATCAACAAGTCCAGCACACCATTTATTACTTTCAACCATCACAATAACATCAAACTTTGTAATTGTTCCATATTTTCATGCTCCTCTTTCTTAAATGTTAAGTTTGTTCTGATAGGTATATTTTGGATTCACTACTAGTCTAGAGTTGAAAAAACAACAGCATTGAATAATAGCCATCTAAGATTGATATAAAAAAAATGTAATTTATGGGCCTCTGGAGTATGAATTAAGAAATAATATTGGACTCAAATGAGTGGTGTATAATGCTCAAGTAAATCACTAAAGAAATAATAAATTTACCTGTATTTACATTATAGTATATAGATGTATATTCTTCAGTATTTTGGACAACTCACTTCAGAAAAACTTAAGAGTTATATTTGTAGAACAATACTGTTCTTTGCTTTAAGTCAAGTTACAATTTGAAATGCATGAAATAAAAACAAAAGAAAAAGATTATAATTGGTTGAATTTAATGATAAGTTTCATTTAGAAATCTTTGTTTTCTCTATATACAGACACACATGATATCAGTGGACAATTTAGTGAAAGCTGTAGATCGTAGTCAGTTAACAAGGGATTTTGATGGTAATCTGGATTATGATCACGAACAGTGGATCAAGCTTAGACTGGTAAACCTTTAAATTTTATTCAGCTTTATTTTCCAGTATGATAGCTCACTGTCAGTTATCTATCCATCCACACAATGTCTCCCAAGCCACCTTGTCAGTACATCAAAACTTCATATGAATATTCCTTTGGTGACCCTGTTTGAAAGTTGTTATCCTTCAAAAAAATTTTGTTAGATTTTAATATTATTTTATTGAAACAATCATTAGAGGAAGGTCTATTAAGGTTGTTCATGTAAATAATTAAAATTTGTTAAGAAAACAATATAGCTAGTATTTGACATGGTTGATTTTCTGGGTATGTAGATTCTACCTATAGATTGAAACTCTAACTTGTGTTTCAATCAGTATCAGACATTATTCTTGTTAAAATTAATCTTGTGTACCAGTATTTTATATGCAATAATACAATGTATATTGGACATAACATTTGTCATCATATGTCACAGTTCTCCATCTAATTGTATGTCAGATAATGCACATTGAAGCTATGTGGAAACTTTATTATTTTGATTATTTTTATCATGTTATGAGATGTCACTGATGTTCAGAAAGTTCACTGTTGAAGGAGCTTGCTTGTTATAATAATTCTTCTACTTTATTTAAAATTAAAGGATAACTGTAATCACATCAATTTTTATTGGAATTATATACTATAATTTTTAGCCAAGAACAATTATTTTTTATAAAAAGTTTGTATCAATCCTTTTGTTTAATACAGATGTTGGAAGAGTTTATATGGAAGGCATTAGACTTGTTGGACAAACTGGATGAATTAAGCAGTATACTTACAAATCCTGATCTTCCAACAGAACTTAGTGAGGCTCAGAAACGTCTCGAGGACCACAACCACTTAAAGAAAAGGGTAACCATGGCTCCTGTAGAACAGTTAGGTCGGGAAGGTCAATATATTTTATCGAGTATAACTGGTGAAGGCTTTGATCAAGCAGGTAAGATCCAAGGAAATATTCTTTAATGTGTGAACATTAACATTAATCACATGTTGCTATTTGCCTCTATACTTTTCAATCTTGTTTTATTTGTTATACCTTAAAAACCATTTGTCCATTTCAGTCTAACTTTTTTCCTAAGGTTGCATCAATTTTGTTAAGTTTACTTGGTAATCAGTGAGCATGTTAATACAATAACTTACAAAAAAAAAACTTCTCTGGTTTGATTGAACATACAGAAGTTAAAAACTTGATCAGTTGGTTGTGAAAGTCACTATATTATGTGTCAAAGTTTTTGTGACTTTTTTCCCTATATTTTAATGCTGATTAAAGGCTCTTTCCCCTAGCCCAAAATAGGTATTTTTTCCCCTAAAAATGCTATATTTTCCGCTGAATTGCCCTCTGCACATTTTTCATTAGAAATGTATTTTTAACAGCAGTTGACTTATATCGGCTAGTTTATAAATTGACTGAAGGACAGAAAGCTGTCCCTACAGATACATGTAGTCTCTACTATGTACGATGCATGTTAAATTGAAATGATGTTGAAATTTTTATAAAATGTTTGACTAAATTCCATTCATATTCTTGGACTTTGATTTTCCCCCTGTGTTATATTTTCCCCTTCAAGAAGCCACAGGTTATTTTGAAAATAAAAAAAAAAAATCACTACCTTCGATCTCAAGATATTTTTCACACCTTGTGAAGATGATTGCCGATCAGGTTGATACAATACAAATAAAGATATTTTATTGTATCATTTTGTATGACAGGTTTTAATTAGACAGCCGTGTGTTCTATCAGTGGTGTATGCATTCCAGTGTGTTCTAAATGTTATCATTCTAATTACCATAGTTGTATTTGAAAATAAACAGTCCAAATTAGTTTTGTTTGAGAACTTCTTAGACGCTTTGTTGCATGATAATCACATGCAATATATTTGCTTTAAGCTGGTTTAGTTATCGCCCTTTCCTTTTGTTACACCTTTTGTAATTCACTTGTTAACGTCCAAGTCCCTAGGTGTATACACAGATCCCTTCAACTTTGACTTACCAAAGTTTTACTGTATCTAAAGTTTAATAGATATGATTTATTACTATCAACTTGCCAAAAATAACAGTCAAATAAATTATTTAGTCAGGAAAATTTTTTACTGCAATTTTTTAAATGTTCGCAATTTCTCATGCTAAAACAAGACAGTGTCAGGATGTTATTTACTTGATAGAAATATAAATATGTTGCAATGATGAAATAATTGCTATTTCAGGTCCAGGGACAAGATTTGTTATATCTGGAAATGCTGACTTTCAGAGTGCTGTACCTCAGATATCACAACTGTTAGAGAATCTTCACTCAACCAAACAACATCTTAATCAACTGTGGACAGTCAAACGGTCTAGACTTGAACAATGTCTACAGTTAAAGATATTTGAAGATGATGTTGAAAAAGTAGTGTATAAATTTTCTTTGTTACTGAACAGATAGATTTTCACTAACATAGTTTCTAATGGCCTTGTGATTGATATTGCTATAAATAGCTTGAAAAGTTATTTTTATGCCCTTGAAGGGAGGCATATTAAAATTGCACCGTCTGTCTGTCTGTCCGTCCGTATGTACGTCCGTGCGTCCCCACTTCATTCCGTGTCCGTACTGTAACTTTTCATACATTGAGGGATTTTGAAATAACTTGGCACAAATGTCTACCACATCAAGATGATGTGTCGCGTCCAAGAATTATGTCCCTACCTCAAAAGTCAAGGTCAGACTTACATTTTGAAATTTCACATTATCACAATTAAAATTAATAGGTACACACAATCGTGTCCGGGCTGTAACTTTGTCATGCATCAAAGGATTTTAGAATAACTTGGCATAAATGTCTGCCACATAGAGACGATGTGTCACATCCAATAATCATGCCCTACCTCAATGGTCAAGGTCACACTACCATTTTGAATTTCACTTTATCACAATTAGAGTTTATAGGTTCACACATTCGTGTCCGGACTGTAACTTTGCCATGCATGGAAGGATTTTAAAATAACTTTGCACAAATGTCTACCACATCGCGGCTAAGGTTCATGTCCGTCCGTGTGTCCCCACTACCCACAAGAATCATGTCCAGACTGTAACTTTGTCATGCATTGAGGGATTTTGAAATAACTCTGCACAAATGTATATCTCATGACAAGATTCTGCCGTGTCCAAGAACCATGTCCCTTCTTCAAAGGTCAAGGTCACACTTATATTTTGAAGGTTCACGCTATCACAATTAGAGATTATAGGTACAATAATACAAAGATCAATATTAAGCGATTGGTTACTTTCATTCTCTTTTCTTTTGATAATACCATGCTTAAGAAACCTTTTTGGGGGCATTCATCACTTGGGTGACAGCTCTTGTTCTGTCTTCAAAGGCCATAACATCAACCTTGATTTAAACTTACTTCAGCTTAAATAATGTGGCTAAATGTACTTGACATAAGCTATTCTTATAACTGTTGTCTCTTCATACTTTCTTTTGTACAAAATTTCCTAAATTACAAGGTCAGTATCAATACAACTAAATATTTATGTTGTTTAAGTGTCTCTTTCATAAATAATTCCACACAGATATAATACAAGGGTGTCTGTGGCTGGGTGGTTAAGATTGGTCAGGTTTAAACCACTTGCCACCACCACTGTAGGTTCCAATCCAGCTAGGGACTACAGATTCTTTCATGTGAGGAAACTATCCAACTAGTTTATGGAATGCCAATGGTTCTACTCAGGTGCCCACTCATGCCTGAAATAATACATAGAGGGGCACCTGAGGTCTTCCCTCACTGCTCAAACTGGAAAGACACCATATGACCTCTGCTTTGTTTGTATGACATTAAACCCAACTAAAAAAGAAGAAAAAAGAAGACAGGAATGAAGCCTTTTTGATCCTCTGCAAAGATTGTGAAAATACTGTTGATTTATTTTCTGCAGGCAGTAGTCTATTTTCTTTTGCATGTTTGTAGACAAAACATTGAAAACTCTTTGGTATACTGCTGCTCCTGGCATGATGGGGGAAATAGTGGAAATTTTACCAGTATTGCCATCTACTTGTAATTGATTTGTTAAAAGATTTAGAGTGAGTCTTTCCTTCAATGACAAATAGAAGTGTTATGTTAAAACTTCTAGAAAAATGATTCTTGAATTATTATTTACAGATGTTCAACTGGATATATCATAACAGAGACATGTTTTTGGTGAATTATACAGAGATAGGAATGTCTCATCAATTTGCTGTAGAACTTGAGAATGAACACAGCCAGTTTGCTAACAGTGCTGTTGTAAGTATACACTGTTCTTGTTGATTATACTTAAATTAACTGTTTTGGTGAATAAGTAATGGTATGATTGACTTGATTATGTAGATAAAATCATAACAAATGTTTTATTATTTTGTAGTCAACAGTTGTAACAATGATGTAGTTATTAAAAATACATTTACTGTTTTTATAGTACAAAATCTACTATATATTATTGTTACAATCATCTGGAAAAATTGTTTGATGCATTTAAACATAAATTTGTATAATAAAAATCAATTTATGTAAATAATCCTTCTTTATAATTATTGTCTTTTTATCAAAAAATTTGTTTTTGATAAATAAAACACTGGAGTTCTTTGTTTTTCTAAGTATGTATCTATATTACATGCATTGCACATATAAACAAGAATATAAGACACTCATTTAACCTCAACATTATTCTATTCCTACGTATTATAACTTATTTTGAAGAAAAAATATCTTACAACAAAACTTAATTTTTGTAACATTTAAGACTTTTTTCTGTTTTAATTGTTTTTCAGAATGTTTATGTGAACATTACTCGGATATTGAGTATGGCACAAAGATTGTGTGATGCGGGACATTATGCTCAGAATTCTATACGTATACAAGCTGCCAAGTTAGAACGGGAATGGAAAAGTCTGGCAGCAGCTCTAGATGATAGAAGTACTGTACTTAGTATGTCAGTAATGTTCCACAAAAAAGCTGAAACCGTGAGTTCTATTTTAGCTAAAAATACTATATTTAAAATACAAATGAATGTTGTTTTATCAATTTTTTTTTAATTGAATCATCACTTCAAGCATTGCTATTATGCCAATTTTCAAAAGTCATTTGAAATGTTTGATTTTATGGTTGTAAAACACCAGAACTAAGATCTAGTTTAAGGTATTGATAATGGTTTGATGCTCTGTGGTGGGCTTTTCAGTGCTGGTTTCAAAAAAGTGGTTGTATAATCTTTAACAAATATTGATGGGATTGTTGGATGGGTTGACCTTTTTGTTAACATTTAGAATCACATTACTTTGAGTCTTTCGAGGATGTTTGCACTTTATGGGTTAGAATTTTCTAAATGTTTTTGGGCTTTGCAGGTTGAAGGTAAAGATATAAACCTCAAAACTTAATAAAATGACTGCCCTATTTGAGTACTGGACCCCTCAAGTAATTGGACTCAGTAGGTCAAGGTCAGAGTGTCATTCATTGTGGAAAACTGTTCAGCTCAGTAACTTGAGTCTCATTCAAACATCATAGGATGATAGCTCTTATTGAGATAAAGGTTCTTAATGTTTTGACTTTGACACTGTGGTTATTGATTTTCATTATGTACATATAGTAAAAACTCTAATTGTTGTTATTTTTACAGTACCTAGCACAGGTTATAGGTTGGCGTCAGGCATGTGAGAGTCCAAATATTCCAACATCAATAGAGGAACTGGAGGACTCATTACAGCAACATCAGGCACTGATTGAATCAATTAGCCAAGCTTATGCTGAAGTATGTGCTGATGGTAAAGCTTTACTAGATACACTACAAACACCAGTGTCATCAGGAAGTTCCAACTCCCTCACTGCAAAGGCTGATTATAGTGAAGCTGCTGGTCATGTTCTTGATGTTGTTCATGAGGTATATGTTTTACATTGACTAACTTATAACGTTTTACTAACTGAACTTCAGTCAACAGCCGAAAATATTCATCTTCAAGACAAGTTTGAAGAATTCGAAGCTTCACCTTTTATGAACTGTGTTTATTTTTATGCCCCCGCCATGTAATGGCCGGGGCATATAGTGTTACCCTGTTCCGTCACTCCGTCTTTCTGTCATTCCTTCATTCTGTCATCATCAGTTTCTATTCATTATCTTAGTAATGGTTGCACACATTCAACTCAAATTTGAAATATGGATATGTCATGAGAAAATACAGGTCAAGTTCGAATTTGGTTATGGTTCAATGATTTTTGGCAGAGTTATGCCCCTTTTACTTTAAAATAATATGAAATTTTCAGTTTCCGTTCATTATCTCCCCAACAATACAACACATTCAACTCAAACTTGACATATGGATATGTCATGAGAAAATACAGGTCAAGTTCGAATTTGGTCATGGTTCGATGTTTTTTGGCAGAGTTATGCCCCTTTTACTTTGAAAATAATATGAAATTTTCAGTTTCTGTTCATTATCTCCCCAACGGTACAACACATTCAACTCAAACTTGACATATGGTTATGTCATGAGAAAATACAGGTCAAGTTCGAATTTGGTCATGGTTCAATGTTTTTTGGCAGAGTAATGCCCCTTTCACTTTGAAAATAATATGAAATTTTCAGTTTCCGTTCATTATCTCCCCAACGGTACAACACATTCAACTCAAAATTGACATACGGATATGTTTTTGGAATGCCCAGGCCAAATTTGAGTTTGGTTATGGTTCAATGATTTTTGGCAGAGTAATGCCCCTTTCACTTTGAAAATAATATGAAATTTACAGTTTCTGTTCATTATCTACCCAACAGTGTTACATATACAACTCAAATTTGACATATGGATATGTCAAAGGAATGGGCTGGTCAAGTTGGAATTTGGTCATGGTTGGATGATTTTTTTGGCAGAGTTATGTCCTTTTCACTTTGAAAATAATATAGATACATTTTAGGAATAAGCAGTTTAAGTTTGAATTTGGTCGTGGTTCAATGATTTTGGACAAACTTATCTTTCCTGAATGTTGGAAAAATTTTGAACTTTCAGTTTCAGCACTCATACTTTTGTGGAAATGTATGTAGCCATTATTTTGGCTACAAGTATGCAATATGCTATTTTCAAAATGTTAAGACTGAATAATTTTAGTGCCTTGAACATTGTATGGTTTGTTTTAAAAGTTTTAAGGGCTTAGAACTTAAAATGAAAAAAATAAATCTGAAATTTTGGCTGCATGCGGGGGCATCCGTGGCATGATGACACATTTCTAGTTTTTTTTTTAACTTTACATTTGCATGTAATTTCCTTAGAACAGTTCATTGTCAGTTGCGATAGCTGTAGTTTTCTGTTTGTTAGTGTTAGAATAGGGGGTCCATCCTACTCACCTGGCTGCAGCATCACTGTAGCATGATGGTTAAAGTTTTATGTGCAACTTTTTTTACAACTGCATAATTATCTCGTTCACTGCTTAAGATACTTGTTTGTTACTAATTTGTTACACTAATTTAAGACCATAAAAAGAGGTCTTTGTTTAAGGCTTATAGCTCTAGCATATATTTCAAGTTTATCTACTTACATTGCCTTATGTCCATGTTATGGATCATGAAAGCTGACAATAAAAATAGCAGTTGAAGTTATATATGAGTCTGTTGATGATATTCTGCCATAAATATATAATTCTAATGCTTGACACTATTTATAAAGATGTTGAAAATTGCATGTTTGTGTGTTGTAAAACATTCCTTTTTCTATTGTTTATATACAATGACAGTGTTAAATAAGTTCTATTTCTAGATATAATATGATGTAAACACTATTTTATATATGCATGCTAAGTGTGAAGTTAGCCTGTATGAGGTAAGCTAGATGGTGCAAGGCAAGATGTGGGCAAAATAAGCAATCTTTCCTGAGGTGACAGACACAATATATCACACCACACTTGTACCTTAAATCTTATAATACTGCAAACAAGTTTCTTCCATTTTTCCTTCACTGACATGACATGTAAATCTATAAATATCAAAATCTTGATTGAAATATGCATCTAAATATTCAATTAGTTTTATTGTCACTAAGTGATTTTCTTCAGTCATAACACAGAAGTTATAATTTGAATAAAAGTACATAGTAAATTGTTTTCACTTATTTAATAGAAAATAGGCTAATGCTTGATTTTCTTATATATATATATATATTTATTTTATATATTATTGTTAAATAAAGTAAACATATTTATCAATGTAGGACTACATGTAGTTTATTTTATGAAAGCTTTTCATTTTTAAAAGGATTACATTACGCTTGATAGTGTACATAAAATAGTGTACATACAACCTGCAATAAGTTAATAACAGATACAGGTAAACACTCACATAAGAAAATAGTCTTGGCAGAATTTAGTTTTTAATTATATTTCTTTAATTTTCATTTTGAAAAAGTCAATAAAAACAAATTTGCAGTATTATAAAATGTTACACAGGTGTTAGAGTCAGACTGAGATCACTATAATTGGAAGCAGTTTATATTATATTTATCTCAGTCTGGTGATATGACCAACTATAACCTAGCAGCAACTTGTTTAACTTATCTAACCCATTTGTTTATACATAGATTTATACTTTCACTATTAAATATACAAATGTATAACCAGTAAAACTTAAAACAGTTCTATTTTTTCTCCGGCAGATAAACCTGCAGAAAGATACTGAACTGGTGTTGTCTGCCTGTCTGTCTTTAATAAATTTGCATGAATCCTTAAATTAGGATCATTCTTTTAATTTCTTTTGTGTTGTTGGGTTTTACTTCGCAGCATGGCCGAGTGGTTAACGCGTCTGACTAGTAAACTAATCATCGCTAGCCACATGGGTTCAAACCCCGTCAGCGGCAAGTCATTGTTTCCTTGAGCAAGAAACTACACTCATTGCTTTGTACTGGTTGGTTCCAGGAACAGATTCGAAAGTGTGTCTATAAGCTTATAGCCTCCTACACAATGGAACTAAAATAAATTCTGTGTAAACCAACACTGTAAAGGTCATGGGGACTTTCCAGCTTTACTTGTGGATGAAGACCTCAGGTGCAGTATTTTACCCACAAATTGATACTTGAGTAGAACCACTGATTTTCCGTAAGCTAGCTGGATAGCTTCCTTACATGAAAGAATCCAAAGTCCCTGATGAATTCCACTCACAGCAGTGAGGGGCAAGTGGTTTGAAGTCAGCACCTTTACCACTTGGTCAGCCCATTACCATAGGAAGGGTTTGAATCCCTGAGAGTCAAGTTAAAGGTCACCAAAACTTTTATTAATTTTCTACCTTTCATTATGAAACCTACTTAAATTGTAGAACATATATTAAACACTTGCATACCTTTTATTGGCATCAAGGTACAGGTCACAAAGGTTAATGGTAGATTAGCCTTCATTTTCAGTTTGTGAATTTTTAAGAAAAAGCCACTTTATTACTGTGTCATCATTGTTATTCATTGTAACCTATGAAACAAACACTTGAAAGGTATCCATCTGAAACTAGGTGTACTTGCTTATCATGACAATGGTTTAGTTGTAAGACGAGGAAGATTTTCCTTTTAACTTAGAATATTTACCATATAAAATAGATAAATGATTGTCAGTGCCCTTAACAGACCAGTGTTATTACTGTGTGCGATACTATGTAAATGGTATTGAAATTATACACAAATGTAGGACTTTTATGAATATATCACTAACACATTACTAATTGTGATATATTATGTTTCTTACACATAACCTGTTTATACTTTCAATCATATATATATATCTATGAATTTAATAATATTTAATCAGGACCCACTTTTTCGCTGTTTCCATTTATAATAAATTTACACATAATGAATATCTTTCAAATTTCCTGGTGCTGATTTTGGGACATTTAAAAAAACAAAACAAATGGAAGATACATTCTGTTTATTTGTAATGTGCATAAATCAAAACAACTTTAAAAAAAATTAAGATATAGGTGTTAATGAATTTTGTAAGTTTGTGAATGCTGCAGTTTTTTGTTAATAATCATCCTAATATTTTACATTCCTGCCTATTTTTGCTTTCCTGCCCTCTTCAAATATTGAAAAGATATTTAGAAAGAAAAAAACAACAACAATGTTCACATGGTCATTGATATCGGAAATTATTGATAATGTGGAAGATACCTTTTTACTATCATAATTGTTGGTACTGTGATTCTAAGACAATTTAATTCAATTGATCTATATTTAAGGAAAAGTAGAGTTATCGATAAAAAGTAACTGAAAGAAAATAAAAAGATAATTAAATTAACAACTTACATTGATATTCATCAAATTATTAAGTCTATTGAACATTTGACTATTAATTTGTATATGGATGTTTTATAACTTCAAAGCATGTGTGAGCCCTGTTTGATAGATTTGATGTAATACTTACTTCTTGGTGCCTGTTGCTGGCATACTGTATTATGATTTATTAATCATTTCAATCATATAAAGTTTATATATTTTTTGAAAACCTTTGTCATAAAAAGTTTGAATTGTTGGTTAACACCAAGTTTATGATATATGTATATGACTGTATGAATTAACAAAGTTTCATGTAAAATGCTTTTATTATGGTGTATATAATTGTTTGTGTACTTTGCAGGTATTAGCTCACCAACGACACCTTGAACAGTTATGGCATGGCAAGAAGGTGAAACTTCACCAGAGACTTGGACTTCGTCTCTTCCAACAAGATGTAAAACAGGTAAAATTTCTACTGTATGATGTAGTTAACTATGAAACAAACATCAGTGGGTCAATGTTGCAGTTTCTGAACGATAACTAGAGTTCGGAATGACATATTGTAATCAAACTTGGTACATGTATATAGCAAATTTTCTTATTCACCAATTATACAATTGAGTTTTCTGATCTGTGTCCATTTGCTTAAAACTGGCTTTTATCTTCACATTGTTCTCTTTACATATATCATGCTTTGTCTTTCACAAATCAAAAAGACCCCTTTGGAAATTTAGGGAAAAAAACACTACTCATTTACATATATTCAACTTTAAATATGTTTAAAAATTAAAAAAACGTTTGAACAGATGAACTAATGGCAGAATTGTTGTTATTACCAAATATGATACATGTATAGTTTGAATGTTTTAGGTTATTGACTGGCTGGACAACCATGGTGATGTTTTCCTTAAGAAAAATACTTCAATAGGTCGTAGTCTACAGAGGTCAAGGGCACTGCAGAAAAGTCATGAACACTTTGAGTCTGTTGCAAAGGTAATGTAGCATAATATATATGCATTTTAAAGGTAATCTACTGAAAGATAAAAAGATGTGAAAAAATAAATTAATGTTGGATAAATAAAGGAATGAAAACTAGGGTGGGTGATATATGCACGGGAAATTTGTTAATGGTATGTACAGTGTTCAATACAGTATGTTAGAGCAAAATGAATCAGATAAGTTTGTCATACTTATTTTTTAATGAAAATATTTCTGCCAGTAGAAATTAGGAATAAAAGAGCATGTTTTATGATATTCTGTTAGTTTAGAGCACTACTTGTTGCCTTTAAACCTTCTTTTGTCATATTTCTACATATATCAGTTAATATATATTGATTTTTAGAACACAATCACAAATGCTGAGAAGCTTCTTGCAGCAGCTGATGAATTAGCACAAACTGGAGAATGTAATCCAAAGGAGATATATAATGAAGCTCAAGAATTAGAGGAAAGAATGTCAAGTTTTTTGGCAGCACTTGCTAGGAGGAGATCTGCCCTAGATATGACAGTATCCTTCTACTCTCATGTACATGCTGTAAGTGACCTAAATCTTGCTTCTTCCTTTGCATTTATCATGCTAAATTAAATGCCTTTCTTTAAATGATTATCTTATGTTAGTGAAGGAGTTATCTATATCATTATGCTTAAGCATAAAACAGTCAAGAGTGTGGACAGCCTGCATTATATTGCAACATCATACTGCCATGCTATGTTGGCCATTGCATACCTGGGTATAGAATTTATCAAAATATACATTCATATATTACTACAATATTTATATCATAATACAAGTGTATATGTATTATTTTAGTTGACATGCTGGCTGGAAGAGTTACAGAATGAATTACAGAGTTCAGAGATTGCTGATACTGTAGAAGGTGCCGAACAACTTCTTGCTCAGTTCAATCAGCAAAGAGAGACAACTCTTGATGCTGCTCTAAACACTGTGGGGGAGGGAGAAAATCTCTGTGAACAGCTGAGGTATGTTTCTTACTTTACGCACCTTTACTATAAATTTACCTTGAAAAAAAATCAGTTTTCAGATTTCACTATAAGTACATGTTAGTTAAGATGAAGATTGTATTTTGATGTAGTATTATCTATAAGATACCACTGCTGTATGTAATATTTGATTATGAATAAAAGAAATTTTTGCTGTATATTGTCAGACTGATTATGATGGGATCAGTATAAAGAAAATAAAAAACTACAGGGCTTGAAATCATTTTCCCCTCTTATAATTTGTAACCTAGATTACTGCAGTTCTACAAATTATGTAGACAATTTCATAGTAGAATGTGGGAGTTTTCCACAGACAGTTGTATCCAATCATATCAATAACAAAAAATATATAACATTTAATTGATAACCCATTGCCATGTTGCACATTATCTGGCTAAAAGTCTATCAATTTACACATACTTTAAGCTAAACATATATCAAGCTACCCACATATATCAAGCTACACATATTTCAAGCTTCACATATTATATCAAGTTACACATATATCAAGCTAAACATACTTCAAGAAAAACATATTTGAAGCTATGCATTCTTTGAGCTACTCATATTTTAAAGCTACACATATTTCAAGCTTCTCACATAAATCAGACAGTACATGTTTCAAGCTTCACATATTTCAAGCTACACATATTTCAAAATACACATATACCAGGCTACACATACTTAAGCTACACATACTTAAGCTACACATACTTCAAAATACACTTATATCAAGCTACACATATTTCAAACTACATATGTTTAATGCTACACATATTTCAAGCTACACATATTTCAAGATACACATATTTCAGGCTACACATATCTCAGGCTACACACACTTCAAGCTACACATTTTTCAAAATACACATATATCAAGCTACACATATTTCAAACTACATATATTTAAAGCTACACATATTTCAAGCTAGCCGTATTTCAAGATACACATATTTCAGGCTACAAACACTTCAATCTACACATATTTCAGGCTACACACACTTCAATCTACACATATTTCAAGATACACATATTTCAGGCTACACATACTTAAGCTACATATATTTCAAGATACACATATTTCAGGCTACAAACACTTCAATCTACACATATTTCAAGCTACACACTTCCATCTACACATATTTCAAGCTACACATATTTCAAGATACACATATTTCAGGCTACGCATACTTAAGCTACACATATTTCAAGGTACACATATTTCAGGCACACCTGATCAGCTATTTTGATCACTTCATGATCTATGTTCAAGACCCTTAAATCTAGCATTTTTACTATTTAGGGGAACAAATAATCAAATATTAAAAAATGGTCTGAAATTTTCTTAAATGAAATAAATATTTCAAATATTTGTATGTTTGTTGTTTTGTTTTTTTAAAAAACAAAACTTCTTTTTTATTTTAATTTTTCACACAATTTTTTTTCAAATTCTATTTTAAAGATCCTGATCTGCACATGTTAATTGTGTAAAATTAAATAGCAACTTTTGGTGTTCTTTACATCAAAAGGTGCCATGCCTATCACATTAATTTATCTTTCTAAATGACTTGAAAGGGATTTTGTTTTATTGGTTTCAACATTGAAGGAAGCAGAGACATGTAGATATACTTATTATTATAATACTGAGCAACATGGCTTAGTTCAGTACTGAGCAAATCAACCCAGTATTGTGGAATTATAACCTTTCCATTGAAATATCTGCTGTCCTTTCAATAATTTTAGTAATCTCGAGCAATTTCTATGAAATTTGCTCACAATGTTTATAGAAATAAAAATTTGATAACCAGCAAAATCAAGTAAAGCTTACTGCATGTTTCACCCTTAAATTTTCAAACAAATATGAAATAGCCTATCTGTGCTCATGAAATTGTTATGTTTTAAGCGTTTTTTAAAGATGATTTACATAATGCTGTGGGACATCTTATAGATACATGGGAAAATTTGATAAAAACCTTAATATATTATATGTCAGAAATGTTCACCATCGTGTTGAGTGCAAGACTCAATGTCAAAGTAACAGATTGTTATTTCCAAGGTCAAAGTAATAGATCATTATTTCCAAGGTCAAAGTAGCAGATCATTATTTTCAAGGTCAAAGTAACAGATCATTATTTCCAAGGTCAAAGACTCCAAGTACAACCAAGCAAAAGGTGCGGGTTTTAGTAGTTAAACCAAACATTTTATGAATGGTTTATTATACCCCCGCACAACTGGAATCAGCTTGTCCGCACTCACAGGACAGTAATTATGTGGCTAGAGGGACAATAGGTAACTGTTCTTTGTCTTTGATGTCATTCATTCTGTAATGCTTTTATGTGGCTATTTTCTTTTGTGTGGCTAAAAAGAACTATAGAGAGAACAAAAGAGTAGCCACATTTTTACTCTCCTGTTAGAACATCCGTCTGGCCGTCCCGCGGCTTTCCTTGTCTGCCCAATAGCTTAAGATTCCTTTGACCCACAGTCTTCATATTTGGCATGGAGATTAGTCATAACTAGTAGATGACCCCTATTGATTTTGGGGTCAAAGGTCAGAAGGGTTTTGACTAAAAAAAGCTTGTCTGCCCAATAACTTAAGATTCTTTTGACCCACAGTCTTCATATTTGGCATGGAGGTTAGTCATGACTGGTAGATGACCCCTATTGATTTTAAGGTCACTGGATCAAAGGTCAAGGTGACAGGGGCCTTGACTAAAAAAAGCTTGTCCGCCCAATAACTTAAGGTTCTTTTGACCCATAGTCTTCATATTTGGCATGGAGGTTAGTCATGACTAGTTGATGACCCCTATTGATTTTGAGGTTGCTGGGTCAAAGGTCAAGTTCGCAGGGGCCTTGACTAAAAACGCTTGTCTGCCCAATAACTTAAGATTCCTTTGACCCACAGACTTCATATTTGGCATAGAGATTAGTCATGGTTCGTAGATGACCCCTATTGATTTTAGGTCACTGTGTCAAAGGTCAAGGTCACAGGGGCTTTGACAAAAAGAAGCTTGTCCGCCAAATAACTTAAGATTCCTTTGACCCACTGTCTTCAAATTGGGCATGCAGGTTAGTCATGACTAGTAGATGACCCCTATTGATTTTGAGGTTGCTGGGTCAAAGGTCAAGGTCACAGGCCTTGACTAAAAAAAGCTTGTCCGCCCAATAACTTATGATTCCTTTGACCCATAGTCCTCATATTTGGCAAGGAGGTTAGTCATGACTAGTAGTGACCCCTATTGATTTTGAGATTGCACTAAAAAAGCTTGTCCGCCCAATAACTTATGATTCCTGTGACACATAGTCTTCATATTTGGCATGGAGGTTATTCATGTCTAGTAGATGACCCCTATTGATTTTGATGTTGCTGGGTCAAAGGTCAAGGTCACAGGGGCCTTGACTAATAAAAGTTTGTTCGCCCAATAACTTAAGATTCCTTTGACCCACAGTCTGTATATTTGGCATGGAGGTTAGACATGATAAGTAGATGACTCCTATTGATTTTGAGGTCACTGGGTCAAAGGTCAAGGTCACAGGGGCCTTGACTAAAAGAAGCTTGTGCGCCAAATAACTTAAGATTCCTTTGACCTACAGTCTTCACATTTGGCATGCAATGCAGGTAAGTCATGACTAGTAGATGACCCCTATTGATTTTCAGGTTGCTTGGTCAAAGGTCAAGGTCACAGGGGCCTTGACTAAAAAAAGCTTGTCCGCCCAATAACTTATGATTCCTTTGACCCACAGTCTTTATATTTGGCATAGAGGTTAGTCATGACTAGTAGATGACCCCTGTAGATATTGAGGTCACAGGATCAAAGGTCAAGGTCACAGGGACTTTGACTTCAAAAGTTTGTCTGCCCAATAACTTAAGAAACGTTTGACGCACAGTCTTCATATTTGGTATTGAGGTTGTTTATGACTAGTAGATGACCCCTATTGCTTTTTAGTTGACTGTGTCAAAGGTCAAGGTCACAGGGATTTTTACTATTATAAGTTTGTCTGCTTAAATGCGTAAGAATGCCTGTCCGCAGTGTATTGATTTTGACATTTTCACATTTAAAGCATGTTGAATAGGTAACTTAGCAATACACTGGCTTAGTTACCTCAGATTTGGCAGGGAGGTTGTCCTTGAGCTCTCAATGGCCACTGTTGATTCTGACAAAGTGGTATGCGATGACAGTGGCAGTTCTAGTTCATCTTAGAATTTATAAGATTGAATTGTAACTTTGCATCATACTTAAACAAGTAAGTTTAGAATGTTTACTACTGTATATTTACTCTGTCATCGACATTCTGACCAATTTTGGAGTTGGAAATAGCTGGGAATTTATTTACATAATACAACTTGAAATTGACAGGAAATATATCAGTTTACAGTAAGTTAATACAATAATATTGATCAGTTTTTCAAAAGAATGAACTGTTCTTGGGGCTTTTTCCCCTGACCTCCACCCAAGGGCAGTCACCTCTTGAAACCCTTTCTCAAGCTTTGACTCAGTTAAATCCCTGTCAGCTCTGCAGCTATCAATGTCCAACAAGCAAAAGGTCTTAATATTTCAGATCCCAAATTACGCAAAATGGAAAAAGAAAACATATTTTGTTGACAATGTAAATATCATAAAATTGCAAATCTATAATGAAATTGCTGCATTTTCAGTAGTCGGATAGTACCTTCAAAAAGTACAGAAGCCCAAATGACCATTGAATCAACACATTTTGTTTCTGGCAAAAAATACTTGCAACATGAGAGAATACACTGATTTTACTTTTCCTAATGTTAAAAGTTTGGGAGTTTATATTAAAAGTCACAAAAACAAACTTGATGCTGCAAATGATTTTAAAAGACTAGCAGTCAGTTCAATCAAGAATATTCACCCCATCCAAGAAATCCTATCTTTGCTACCATTGCAATCAGTAGATGTTAGAATTCCCTCCCTTACATTGTAATAGCTTACCTTACATTGAGATATTTTGTGTACATT